TAAGTTTGATACTTGCATGTCTCATCTGTCTGAATTTTCAGCATCATTACTCCAGTCTTCAGTGTAACATGATCCTTCAGAAATCAGTATAATATGCTGATTTGCTGCTCAAGAAACATTTCTGATCATAATCAGTTGAAAACAGTTACGCTGCTTCATATTTTTTTTGTGAAAACCTTTATACATTTTTTTTCAGGATTCTTTGATGAACAAAGTTCAAAATAATATTAATAAAAAATAAAAAAAACTACCTTACTGACTACAAACTGCTAGTTTGAATTTGTGGGTTATAGAGGGTTCTTTCAGAAGAACATAGACATAAACTCTATACAGCTAATCCCACGTCAAAGCTGAATTTTCAGCATCATTACTCCAGTCTTCAGTGTAACATGATCCTTCAGAAATCAGTATAATATGCTGATTTGCTGCTCAAGAAACATTTCTGATCATAATCAGTTGAAAACAGTTACGCTGCTTCATATTTTTTTGTGAAAACCTTTATACATTTTTTTTCAGGATTCTTTGATGAACAAAGTTCAAAATAATATTAATTAAAAAAAAAAAACCTACCTTACTGACTACAAACTGCTAGTTTGAATTTGTGGGTTATAGAGGGTTCTTTCAGAAGAACATAGACATAAACTCTATACAGCTAATCCCTATCTAGAAGCTTTGCATGTCAGATCACTTCATTGTGTGGCTGAGACAGTTGTTTATTTGCTCAATACTGCACCACAATGAGAAATAAGAAACAAAGCATGTGCTAAGTTGATGGAAATATAGTACATTTCATTAGAATTTCAAGTGCACAATGATGAGGTGATTATTACAGTATAGGGCCAACTATACATCCCATAGAAAGATACCAAACGAATGTTTGAAAGAGAACTTTAGGTTACTTTCGTAACCCCGGTTCTCTGATAACAGGAGTGAAGTCTCTCACTATGGGAATTGCCTCGGGCGTGACCAATCCTGGAAGCACCAATTACACCACGTCTGTCAGTTTACAGACCAAACAAGACAGTATGCGCGAGTCCGGCCTCCCTCATATATATCGCTGCTAAGTCCCTACATCATTCTCAGCATATCTCTTCTCCGTGCTGCTGCACGGAGGCAAGTGTGGTGAGATACTGTACCTCACTCCTGTTATCAGAGAACCGGGGTTACAAAAGTAATCTAAAGTTCTCTTTCAAACATTTGTTTGGTATCTCACTATGGGATATTAACAACTCCTGTATTGCAGATATGCTGTCAAGTGCACAATGATGAGGTGATTATTACAGTATAGGGCCAACTATACATCCCATAGAAAGATACCAAACGAATGTTTGAAAGAGAACTTTAGGTTACTTTCGTAACCCCGGTTCTCTGATAACAGGAGTGAAGTCTCTCACTATGGGAATTGCCTCGGGCGTGACCAATCCTGGAAGCACCAATTACACCACGTCTGTCAGTTTACAGACCAAACAAGACAGTGATGCGCGAGTCCGGCCTCCCTCATATATATCGCTGCTAAGTCCCTACATCATTCTCAGCATATCTCTTCTCCGTGCTGCTGCACGGAGGCAAGTGTGGTGAGATAATGTACCTCACTCCTGTTATCAGAGAACCGGGGTTACAAAAGTAATCTTAAGTTCTCTTTCAAACATTCGTTTGGTATCTCACTATGGGATATTAACAACTCCTGTATTGCAGATATGCTGTCCGAAGCAGGCACGTCAACCAACTCAGTGATGTGTGATAACATAAAAACACAAGCCCTCCACTATTCACAGAATAGATCGGAGACATGTGAAAAGCAAAAGCATCCTCTGTATGAGCGTTTGTTTGTTTTTGTTACACACTTAGGATGGAATGAGCCAACCAAGGCTCTGTAACATCCAGCCTATAAAATCTGACACAAGTGTGTGGCAAAGCCCAGATCGCCACAGCACAAATGTCTTGTATTGAAACGCCCTTAAGGCCCCGATATACTCAAAACAAAGTTCTTTTTCGTTCTTCATTTAGGGGTAAAACAAAGTTCGAAATATGTGAGCACTGAGCAGCGATATACTGTTATCGAACATCCCGACGCCGCCCACTCTGATGAAAGCAACGTTTATATATGTAAATATGTTATGCGAGCTTTCCTCTCAGTAACAAAATAAACACAATAAAAATGGAAAGAACAGTAAGCATTTTTTTATTAAAAATAAAAGCATCTGTTCATAGCATCATGGGTATGCTTACACGAGCTCTGCAATTTAGCACTCCCGTGAAGTCACGTCACATGTATTTACATGGCACTTTATTCAATTTATTGCTTAAAAGCAAGTAGCCATATTAAACATGAAAAACAGTGTCAGTGTCTCATTCCATCAAAAGCAAAACTTAATTTGCTACTATAAAGCGGCTCTCCACTGCGAAGACATCTCACCTCCAAGGACTCGACAAACGAAATGAACCCAGAGAAGAGTTCCGTGTGAAAGAAGGCGGAGCCTCAGGTCACACCTCCTATGACGTAATCGTCACGGACCAATGGTAGTATGAAGGTGTTTTGCAGCCGGAAAATAACTTTTCCGGAAAATTCGCTTTGGCAAGCCGTTTCGAACTCCCAAAACAAACACAAAAACGAATTAATTTTGGCCGGATTTTGTTCGAAATGACGTCACATCAGTTCGTTCTTTGATTTCGCTTGAAGTATATCGGGGCCTTTAAACAATGCCCACGAGGTGGCCAAACCTCTGGTACTATGCGCCCTCAGCCCTTCTGGAGGACTAAGACCCATGCTAATATAGCCCAATACAATAGCTTCCACTACCCAGTGGGACAGGCGCTGACGAGAAATAGGTTTACCCTTATAAGAATCAGCCCACGAGACAAATAGCTGAATACTTTTTCTTAATCCCTTCTTGAATTCTGAGAAGATGAAAATGTGAGCTACAACGCTCTAGGACATCCTAAGCTCGTGCCAGGCTTCGGCCTTGACTTTTCCATTCACCAAGATTCTCTGACTCAAACTGGTTCTTTTTCATCAACCAACTTCAGCAAAGATCAACTTGAACCTTCAGATTGCATCAAGCCTCTTTCAGACAGACGAGACGTGCAAGTATCAGACTTAGTCTTATTAATTGATACCTTAGGCATCATTTGTACCTTTTTACAAAGGTGTGGTTGAATTAAGAATCTTATGTTCCCTTCAGGCTGTAAATCTGCTGAATATGCAAATAGTTATATATCTTCATTCCTTATTTCTCTCCTTTTTACTGCCTAAACTTTAACTCCTTTTCCTATACCAACTGTATGCGTGTGTGTGTGTGTATGTTAGACCAGTTTAAGTGTTTATGTGTAGGTTAGACCAGTTTAAGTGTTTATGTAGTTAATAAAGCCTTACTTGTATCACACCTGACGTTGTTCATTGTTTGCTCATAACTGGAGTCCCTAATCGTTCAGATTTATGCTACAAGCTCTGCGCAGAGTTGTAGAGTAAGAAAGTTATTTCCCTTAACCAGGAAATTAACGTTCGTAGAATTGACAGACAGTTGACCCTGAGAGGTCAAGTAAATATCTACAGCAGATCTATAATTATGATTAACTAGTTATGATTAATTATTCATATTTACCCATGAGCTCATTCGATACAGGAGTTATGAACCGACAAAGCATGAAGTTCACTAGCTCGTTTCGCGGCCAAAAGAGCCAACAACAAAGCAAACTTTAAATCAATATTATCTATTGGCTCAAAAGGAAGCTGAGAGAGTGTGTTTTGGACCACAGACCGATCCCACAGTGGAATCAGTGGCTTTGAAACCCTGTTCACACGCCGTACACCCCTCATAAACCTGCATACAAGCTGGTGTTTACCTATAGTATTTCTGTCAATCCCCACATGGCATGCAGAAATTGAGGATAAACCATAACGGTAGAGAGGGCTCTTGCAGAAAACATAACACCTCTGCCACCGAACAAATAGAGAAAAAGAACAATTTGCCTTTGCGCACACCATGGCTCAAACACATTTGATTTCATATCATATGCAGAGATAGCCGCTCTCGCATTTTGAATTGTCTCAATCACCCTTGGAGGCTAACCCGTAACACTTACATTCAACCTCTCGTGCCAGGTCCAAACAGCTACTTTGTCCCGTGCCGGGTGAAAAATCTCTCTGTAAGAGGAGGTCCCTACGCAACGGGAGAGGCCAGAGCCGATCGCATCGGAGCTGGATTATCTCCATCAGCCACAGTTTCCCTGGCCAGTCCAGAGCGATCAGTATTGCTGAGTGACCGCATTCTCGTGGACGAAGCGGAGTCCAGTCTGGGGTCGTCACATGTGGTTGCCGCTCCTTCGTCGAATCCGCTGGCAGCGCTGTTCTCAAGCCTGCCACCTCTGCTCACTCTAGCCCGGCCTCAGCTTACTCTAGGCCGTGGCTTCCGCTCACGCTAGGCTGCCGTGTGTTTTGTTGTGAAAGCGAAAATACTTTGTTTGTTCTTCCAAAAGAGGACACGACTACAAATCAGTGGTTAAGTTGTATTTACAACACTGTTCCAGAACACTTCAACCCAAATATTCAGATGTGTGCAGCACATTTTATGGAGGACTGTTTCCTGATCCTGGGAGAGTAGACTACAATGCCGGCAGTTCTGACTCACAGTCTGGAAGTACGTTTTCATTTAAAGTATTTGCCACTGATGATTCAAACGCAAGTTTTGGCCAGGGTAGAGTAGCACTTGTTGTTTGTCATTTCTCCGATCACAAATGCAGACATCTTTTGATTTGAAAACAGACCACAGTTTAGGTCGCCAGCCTCTTTTTCCCCCCCTGAGGGTTAGCTGGGCGATTCTTAGCTACTGCTGCCGCAAACAAGGCCTTGCCTCTGGGCTGGGGTTGTTTTGGATGAACCTCTGCCTGCATTGACTATTGACTGCTAAGGGGGTGGGGGGTGGACGAGCAGTAGGCTTCCTGGGAAGGCAAGTTTCAAAAGCTTCCCCATCCTTCTTGCGCAGGTCGCACTGACGACACATTTTTCACTGCAGCCTCAAAAAGTGTTTTTGGCTCCACTGGGGCATCGAGGAATGAATGCAAACACAGTACAAATGTGTTTTTAACATATCCTATATTTTCAGAAATAATATAAAATAAGAAAAATGCTAAATATTTCTTAGACAAAATGTAGACATTAAGTTTTAGAATTTAAACATTAAAGGTGACATGAAAATCTGACTTTTTCCGTGTTTAAAGGAACACTCCACTATTTTTGAAAATAGGCTAATTTTCCAACTCCCCTAGAGTTAAACAGTTGAGTTTTACCATTTTCGAATCCATTCAGCCAATCTCCGGGTCTGGCGGTAGCACTTTTAGATGTAGCTTAGCATAGATCATTGAATAGATCAACGGAAAATGAAAAGTTGCGAAAAAGTTGCCAAAACTAGCCATATCGGCCTAGAAAATCACAACTTTTCATTTCCGTCGGTCTTAGTACACGATGTAACTACAGAAGAGTCAAGTTTTAAATAAGAAAAATATAGAAACTCTTTGGTCATTTTTGAGCGAGATGCTAATGGTCTAATCAGATTCAATGATCTATGCTAAGCTACAGCTAAAAGTGCTACCGCCAGACCCGGAGATCGGCTGAATGGATTCGAAAACAGTAAAACTCAACTGTTTGACTCTAGGGGAGTTGGAAAATTAGCCTATTTTCAAAAATAGTGGCATGCTCCTTTAAGTGCTATAATCGGGTTATAATTTGGTAAGCCTTTCTCTGCAAGCATGTGAAAAAACGAGCGCTTCAGATTTTGCTCACCCTGTGATATAGAAAGGGGGTCTTATTATAATATTACTGCCCCTCAATCTGCACTTTTCCAACCACGGCACCACCATTGTGCCTTCGCAAGCTAAAACAATGTACCAGTTCTAACGCAATGGAAAAAGTTCGAGCAAAGCATGCTAACTGTTCTGGCAGCATAGACGAGCACAGAACACTATTTAGAATCCCAGCCTCAGAGGAGACAAGTATATTATGCTGCAGCCACACAGATCTAATATAAACATGCAATTTCTTTCCCAGCTGTTCACCTTCACAGTCATAACTGACTATGTTTGTAACAAATATGTGTTTCTAACATAAACTTGTGTGTATTTGAGAGTTTAAGCGCAATAAGACATGAAAGAGAACTTATTTTAGTGCTCACATGCCATGTGACATCTGCTTTCTGTGCGCTCAGAAAACACTATATCAGAAGTTTAAACTGATATGGTTTTAAAACGCATGATTTCAGCACGACAGACAGGATAATCAAAACCAAACAGATGTTTTGTTTTGGCAGAGTATCTGAAGCACAAGCTGTAAAGGCTCCGCTCTATTCTGGAAAAGGGGGCGGGGAGCAGCAGCTCATTTGCATTTAAAGATACAGGCACAAAAACAGCGCGTTTCTGCTTCCACTCAAAATAGGCATTTTCAAAATGATATAATAAATTATCTGTGCTTCACAGACACATTCTGGGCACACCTGAGACTTATATTACATATTGTAAAAAGGGGCATAATAGGTGCCCTTTAGGTTTAAAAAAATTGTGTTCACTCAAAATAAACAGAGCAATTCCAAGAGGGTTCTTGCACAATTGGTGCTCAGGCCCTAATGACTACAAGTATAACAGCAGTGGTAGACTATGATTACTGGTAAATATTTTGTAAAAACACAGAAAATAGCAGATTTCAGCCTGTCACCATCATGCAAACAAGAAATATCAAACATACAGTAGTAGTTCTTTACAGGTTTTTGCTTTTCCATTGTTTTTTGTGTAAACATGCACTTTACGTATGTGTTTGACTGTTGCAAACCTGTTTGAAACCTTAAGTTCAACTCGCATCTCATAACCTTTTCCCATTTAAATTTTTTCCATTGTGCTTAGGATTTGCAATATGTTCTACATTACGGTCCTTTATAAAGCGTGTTACACATGAGCAGTTAATCGTAGTTAATAATTGTCCGTGTGTCTAATTGTAACATTTGATAATATTTTTATACAAAACCGTTAAATTAAAAAAAAATTTAATCGAGACAAACATTACATTTAAATTAATCGATAAGATCTGAAAAAAAATTTTTTTTAAACGCAAAGCCCCAAGTGTAATGTGCACTCTAGCATCATAGCAGGAAGTTTTGGATGCCACTTTATGTTTAGTTCTCAAGAATAGAGAGTCGGGGACTTCTGGGAGTCAACACTTCAGCAATGTGTCGATAGCTATGCCATCGCTTGAACAATGGATGGTTTTCTAATAGCATTTAAAACGAATGGATGCAAATTCTTTCTAATTAAATCTGTAAGTCTGCACTAAAATGTCATTTCAAAGTTAATAAACTCGAATTAACAAACTGGTGTTATCCTTACCGTGTTTTGCGTTTACTGCTCTTGTCTTCATCGTCGTCTTCACTCACGTCCTCACTGAGTGCTGATGCATCACTGGAGCCCGAGCGCGAGTGCTCGAAGTCAGAGTCTGCCGAATCATCGCTGCCCACTACACAAACACACATCAACAAATCCAGTAAACACTTCAGCTCATTCAGTGGAATGGCATGGGTGGCTTTTGTTTAGACTTGACACCGACCTTTCCGCCTGCTTCTCTTTTTGGTTTCTTTCTTTTTTTTAACTGGGGTCTCGTCATCAGAGTCTCCCTCGCTTAGAGTCAACTTCTTCCTCAACAAACGGTGCCTGCGTCCACCTTTCTTCACGTCCACATCCGAGCACGAGTCTGAAGTTTCATCCTCTTCCTCTGCAGGAAACATCAATTCATTATTCATGACAAGAACACTTCTACATTAAACTGGATTAAATCTGAATTTAGGGCTGGATGGCATATAACGTTTGTATGATATATCGTGTTTTTTTTTTTTTAATAAATGATATGGAATGAGGCAATACCATTTATATCGATATACAGTAGTTTGACACAAGCGTAACTGGAAAATATCAGAGGACACAGAATGAGCTGTTGCGGGGAAAGTGCATAATCTAGTTTGTCCAAACTTATATGCATGGCTTTAAAATAACTGGTAAGATACAGTAAACACGTATAGTTTAAAGCAGTTGCCCCGTCAGATGCTGACATACACGTGCTGCTGACAGAGACGCTACTTGCGCTGTTTAGTGTGTTTAAGATGTGCTGTTTTCCTCGGTGCATAACTTACATTTCACAGGTATATTCTCCAGCTGTAAATGTAAGCAAGTCATGGAAATATTTCCATTTTGCTGTCAGGAGTAGATGAGTTTTCTGCAAGTGATTCTCCGCTAAACTTCACAGACTTCAGCGAACAAGCGCCACCGCGCTCATGCACGCCAAACAGACGGAGCGCAATAATTCTGACTAAAATACATTTTGCTAGACAATAAATGTGTCATGTAGAATTTTAAACCAACAAATAAGAGTATTTTTTATGATAACACTGTAAATTGACAAATGAGGTAATCAAAAAAGCCTAATACAATTAGTTTGTGCCTTTCGTTTTTAATTTAGTGAATTTCTTTGTTTTTAGATCATAATGTTACAATATTATAATGTAATGTGATTTTAACCCTTTTCGCACATTACATTTAGCATAGTCTACATGTTTACATTCACTTTATTTGGTTTTCATAGATTTTATTTATAGACATTGTTTTGTTGGACAACATTGGGTAGGATGTGAAAGAAGAGGAAGAAGAAAAGAGATGTTTTTTCTTTAATCCAAATAGAAAAAAAAAGTAGAAATACAGAGATACATGCCAATTCAGCGAAAAAAATGCAGAGATATGATTTGGCCATATCGCCCAGTCCTATCTGAACTAACTCTCACCACTTTCGTCTTGCTTCTTAGCATCATCTTTTCCTTTCTTTGGTGAATCCCCGTCCTCTTTGTCTGCGTTTTCATCATCAGATGAACTGTCAGCTCCAGAGGAATAGTTGGCTTTGATCTGTGCCAGAAGCATCCTCTTGGCAATTCTTTTAGATGAGACAGAAACAAAATTAGGCCAGAAGCCCAGAATACATCATCTTGTTACTTAAACTTGTGACTGTCCACTCCGTGAGATTTTCATGAAGGTAACTACTTTGATTATCAGAATCAGAAACAAGACTGAGGCAGGGGGAAGCTACGAAGTTGAGAGGATTTATGAGTTTTATGAGGTTCCACAGTTAGAGGATTCAATGGAGTTACAAGGTTTAGCTTTTTTAATATTTTTCTTTGCTTAAATGTTTGTAAAACCCACAGACGGGGGACATCTTGTGATTAAACAGACATAAAAGCAATTCACAACATGTTACTTGTAAAATCAAACCTATTCTCTGGATCATCGTCATCATCCAGCACCTGGGAGGATTCAGCCTTCAATTCAATTTCATCACCTTCATAAACAAGAAGAAAAAAACAACACTTAAAAGTCATGAAACTCAATAAATGTTTTCCAAAAGGCTAGTTTATAGAACCCTGATGATGAACTTAATGACACTCTATCAGTGTTCAGGAGGTTTCCACCTAATAGTCACCTAAACGTCAGTCGACAAGAGACTCAATCGACCACATTTTTAATTAGTCGGTTGCAGAAAAATAAAAAATAAAAACTCAACAGAATATAGAGGAGTCATGCAGTCTGTAACTGACACATCGTTAACACGGCTGCTATTTAGTTTTGTTTTAATATAATGAAGCCTAAATGTTACATCACAACCATGGAAACATCTGGATTCTTGTCAAAAGAGAGAGCTACACGAGTCTATATATGCAAGGCATATGTGGGCTTTTTTAGCTAAGCGACTACGTCTTCTATTCAAAAGCAGCTTAAATGCTCTCAAGCGTTCCATCAGTGTGTAGCAAAGTGTACTGATGTCTCAGTTTAGAGACACTTGTGTATAGTTTATTTAGGTGTTTTCACATATAGTGCGTGAGCAGGGCATGAGCAGTTCGTTTTCATTTAAGCACCCTTTTAAACAGGAGAGTTTATAAAATAGAGCTGTGTCTATTTTTGCCCACGGCTGACGCTGAAATCAGCTGGAGACTAAACATCAGGAGACTAGAAAAAACATGAAAGCAGATCAAAAACATCTGAACTCTGAATGCAAACGCCTGCACATTGGTGGTCTATGTAAATTATTAACCATTGTGATGCAAAATATTCATAAGTCACTTTAAAATGGGGGAAAATATCATTATGACAAATGTTTTTCTCTAATACACGTTGGACAATTATTGGTACCCCTAGAAATTCTAATGAGTAAAATATCTGTAACGTATATTCCCATTCATATTTACAATTTTGAGCATACCAGGGCATATAGTGCGTGAGCAGGGCATGAGCAGTTCGTTTTCATTTAAGCACCCTTTTAAACAGGAGAGTTTATAAAATAGAGCTGTGTCTATTTTTGCCCACGGCTGACGCTGAAATCAGCTGGAGACTAAACATCAGGAGACTAGAAAAAACATGAAAGCAGATCAAAAACATCTGAACTCTGAATGCAAACACCTGCACATTGGTGGTCTATGTAAATTATTAACCATTGTGATGCAAAATATTCATAAGTCACTTTGATTCATTAATATATATATATATATATATATATATATATATATATTATATTATATGTGTGTGTGTGTGTGTCACTTGAACAGACGAATACAGTCATGGTCAGAATTATTGGCACCCTTGGTAAATATGATCAAAGGCAGCTGTGAAAATAAATCTGCATTGTTAATCATTTTGTTCTTTTATTTTTTTTTAATTCACATAAATCTAACCTTTCATTGGAGAATAAGAATTTAAAATGGGGGGTAA